TAGGACTGAACAAGTGAGCTGACCTGTGGAACAACAGAGGGAAAGAGACAGATCCAACATTCAGAGCCAGGTGAACTCCTTACCTACCAGGTGGTCTCTGGACATTTTGTTTAAACAGATCCAGAAAGACCTTCCTCACCATCATGAGAATTATGAACATTGAGGGAAATTGAGATAAATTTTTATTTACAGAGAATAATTCATAGGCTTGTAGACATCTATGTGGGTGTGTACAGGATTGCTAGGATACGCTCATACACAGAACAGAAGAAATAATTCTATTTCATGGAAAGAAAACCAAAGAGCTTCTGAATTGGTAGGTATTCTTTGCCACAAATGTGTCAGGTCACTAGATCATGTTATGATGCTGGAGGTAACACTTCCCAACCTTGTCCTGGAGACAAAATGCAAAAGAGTAAAGATTCAAGTGAGATTCCTTTGAAAAATACAAGTAATGAACAGCCCAAAACGTATGAACCATTATGTAAAGAGTGTTAATTAAATTAAACAATAAATTCCATGTTGAGGTGACAGGGAAGTTCGATCTGACAGCTCATATTCACCTTTATGGGCACTGAGTGCTCTCTGCAGCCCAGCTCCCACTCTGAAGGGAGGTTTCTGTCTGAGCTCTGCGAGTCAGCTGGAGTCATTGTAAGCCATTCAGAAAAGTAGTTGACTCTACTTCTTCAAATGGGAATTTAAACAATCAACTCCTCAGCTTACCCTGTCTATTTTTGTAACTGTGCGTGACCCTTAAAAATGCCCTCACAATTTCTTTCATAATGGGAGTTGACTGTGGTCAACTGAAGATGTGTGAAGGTAACAGGAAGATGTGTAAATTTAAAGTCTGGGTACATAGACTGCTGAATTATCAAAGCCTGGAGCCAATCACCTTCTGTCATCTTGTTTAATTAGTTGTGAATTTGTTATCAGTTGTTTAGTTCAAGTTCCCGTAACTCACTTTCTGATAAAATAGTCACATTCGATAATCTTGAGATATTAAAATGAAAAAAAATCGCTAATTTCAAAATGAACCCAACTTCCAGGAGAGATGAAAATTCCTTTGTGGTGAAGGGTGTGAAGGATGGAGACATGGTTGAATATTGAGGTTGTGTTCACAACTGTATTGTTTTAATTAGGGAACTTCTATTCATCCTTTATATTAATTAGAATCTGCCATTGAGAACCTTGATGTAACGTAATTAATTGATGGGTCACACAAAAACAGTGAAGCTGAAGGTTACTGAGCAGGAATTGCTATTACAACTTTAGCTTTCCTTTAGAACACATTCCTCTACCTGATATGAAATTAGCCCAGGTGCACTGATGAGCGTTTTACAGTTAACCAAAGACCAGGAAATGGGCACTCGTATATGTGGAGCAGGGCGTGGCTTTGGGATGCTTTGCAAACAAAGTGGCTTCTCACGTCTTCTGGAAAACCCATCAAAATGGGCAAGTTAGGGATCTCTTAGGAGCACCCGTCTATCCCACATTCATGGCTAATATAACAGTGGAAGTTGATGCAAAATGAGATAAGATGGAAATTAAAGAAACTGCTGCACCACTGCCTCAGCTCAGCACAGCTATCTCTTCCCTCAGGGCTTCTGACTCTCTCAGGATGTGGGTTTCCACACTGTGTCTCTCATACAGTAATACACAGCAGTGTCCTCAGCCTTTAGGCTGCTGATCTGCAGATGCACTCTGCTGACAGAGGTGTCCATGGAGAAGACAAATCATCCTGTTTAGCCCTGGGCATACGTTGGGTTCCCAGGGTTGGTGTTCATCCATCCCATCCACTCAAGCCCTTCTCCAGGGACCTGTCTCACCCAATTCATACCATAGGTGGTAAAGCTGTAACCAGAAGCCTTGCAGAAACCCTTCACTGAGGCCACAGGCTGCTTCACCTCAGGCCCAAACTGCACCAGCTGAACCTGGGAGTGGGCACCTGTGGAGAGGACACAGGATTGCAGGAAGTCTCACTTGACCAGCCTGGTTTCTCTGTCAGCCCTGGGACTGGGGAGCCCCTTAACTTTTGCTGCTGCCACCAAGAAGAGGATCCTGTAGGTCCTGTCCACGGTGAGGAGCTGTGCTGTTGGTGGGGTGTGGTCCCGAGGAGGGGTGTGGTTGTTGGGTGATGCTCTCAGGGCACAGAGTTATCTGTATTAGCCTCAGTGATTGGCATATTCTTGAAGGATGCTATTTAATAGCCCAATTTCTGACCCAGTATGAGAAAGAGAAAATACATGACACATGGACGACACAGTTGTAGAAGCTGAGGGTTCAAACCGTAATCCTGTTAGAGGCCATGTGTCCCCTACACATCCCTGAACTCTGTGTTGACAGAG